ACTACCTGGTACTACGATATGGGTGCCATCTGCGCAATTTTATAATAGCGCTATAGATTGTGAGTTCACATACACTACAGGGGTAATGACAGTTTAATGATACATAATGGCAGTTTATTGAATATACACACAATAACTCCGTAATTGAAACCTTAACTCTAAGACAAAAAGTTAAAACTTTAACTTCAAGATTAATTTTACTTCAGTTATATTTTATTGACAATAAAATCATGTATGATCACATTTTAAAATCCTTCAAAGTCTGCTGGCTGTTCATCGTCTAACATAAAGAGGTCTGCATATGGGTCAGAATCACTGGAACTTCCGACTTGGTCTTCATTATTTTTGCTGTCATCCTCCTCCTCGTCACTGTCTTGCCACAACAAATCATCTTCCTCCCCATCCATTGCATTTGAAATCCCACATTTTTTAACAATTTTACGACAGTTTCTACACGAACAGCTTCCCAAGACTTTATTACAAATTTGCACAACACATCCAGTGGTGGAGCACGCATATTACCCCCCTTTGTGAATGACTTTTCTCCCTCAACCATCCATTTATTCCACTCAGAATGAATATTGTCCTTAAATGGCTTATTTAAGCTTACATTAAGAGGTTGAAGCACAGATGTTAACCCCCCATACACTGAACAAGCCTACATGGCAATTTACTAAACCATCCTGGCTTTATGCTCTTGCTGGCATCCACTCATTACCCTCACACCAACCTGACAACAGTTAAAAATATCTTATCTCCAAATGGATGAAATATGACGCAAGTTTCAAGCTGAAAGTTATTGCGTTTGCAAACTCTTCAAACAACAGTACTGCAGCGGATGACAGTTTAAGTCTAAGCCATGCTGCCGATAGTGTAACGAACCCCATAGTTTCGCAGCTGGCTGCTTGGTGTTGGTGGCGCCACTGGCAGTTTGTTTACAACAGCTGATGCAAATGGCTGATCGTAAGCCAGGTGTACCATAATGTTCTATCATACCATTTATAGAGGTATTACAGTGATCCCTCAGTTAACGAGCGCCTCGGTTAACGATTTACCTTCCATAAGATTCTTCACTTCGGTTAACGAGCAAACCCTCGGTTAACGAATTCCTTACGAATTTTTCCCCCAACATGTTTTCGCCTGCATTTGGCTGCCCACCAGCTGTTGTATTAGTCAGGCAATACAGTAATCAGTTTTAGGGCTTAAATTCCTTACCATTTTAGTAAATATCAAGAAGGCTGTACAATTCAATAATTTTAAAAGTTTTATATTAAATTTTTTAGTCATTTTAACAATTATTGAACATAATTGAAGTACAGGAAGCTAGTTATTTGCGCGCCAAACATCCACTCAACACACCAAGCTTGGCGTCAGTTTGTTTACAGGTTCAGAAGAAGGAACATCTTGTTTGAGACTCTTCAACATAAATGCGTTTTTTCTGTGTTTCCAGTCAAATAATTGGTCAAACTGAAATATATTTTACATATTGACAATATATAATGCAGTACAGTGTTGATTTAAAGAAAATAATCTTGAATTACACCAAGTGAACTAAAATTTTATGGGTGAAATGGCGGCATGGGGCGACTTCTCTTCCACCCCAATGCATTCTCTTCTCCCTTCTCTTCCACCCCCATTCTAATTCCCATTATCATCAACCAGGAGCCTTCTACATGCACACCTCAAAATAAGTGTACTTTAATGCATTTATTTTTAGTTTGTATGTAATTTTTGGTGAGCTGGAACCAATTACCCAAAAACCCATTGAAACAATGGTTTAGGTTAACAAATTTTTCAGTTAATGAGCAACCTTCCGGAACGAATTGTGCTCGTTAACCGAGGGACCACTGTATCGAGGTGCTATACTGGTATGCTGTGTAAACAATTAATATTTTATTGGAGGTGCTGATTTTGGCTTGGTGTTTACCAGAGTTCTTACGAAGATAACTTACTGAAGATTTTTAGCGGTTGCTTGCTGTCCTACTTAAATCCTGTGGCCCACTTCCCTTTTTGTATGAACGATTTTATATATATATCAACTATTGAAAGGTATTACAGTAAGTGTCTTAATGAAAGTGGCATGGCCTTATTACACACTTTCGCCTATGTTTGGGCCTTGGGAAGTCAACAAATACGGCGAGTATAGAACTAAAACTGAATTTTGAACTAAAAATCTTGGTCGATTTATACGTCGCAATTTACCGTAAGTATGATTTAACAATGAAAATCATAAATAAGCACATACTATCCCTTTGGTTACAGTACAGCAACAGGGGATACAATATTCAGGCTCTACTTCTTCCTAATACAGTATTACTCCGCTTTACGCGGTTTTACTTTCCGCGATTTCTCATTTACGCAGTGCCTCGCCAGAACCGAACTTTCACTTTCCGCGGTGCATCTACTCATATACGCGGGAAGTGGCGCGGGCAGGATGTGCACAAGGTCGCCCAGTCATCAAAACATTACCGAGTTCTTCACCCGCCACCCACCACAGCCGGCCTAAGTCAGTGATAGTGATAGTGAGGATATGAACTTATATGGACTTTGAGGGGTTTGACAAAGAGGCCCTGCAAGCCTATGTGGTGGATAGTGATACAATTGATACAAGTGATACAGGTGAGGGCCAATAATCTGCCCTCTGCCTCGGAACCAACCCCCCATCCCTGTGTGCCCAGCCATCTTCTCTACTAATATAAGTGTTAAAAAAACTAATATTATTGATATTTCTCTTAATTATTAATTGTGTGTGCATACCATCATAAAATTAAGATGTAATTTTTACTACAACATAGGTATTGTGTCTGAAAAAGTGGAGTTTGGGGGTCAGGCCAGTCTCTATTGGAATTAATCCCATATGTTCTGTTGTTCACTTTACGAGGTTTTCACTTTCCGCGGTACCCCATGGGTTCAATTGACCGCGTAAATCGGGGTTCTACTGTATTTACAACTTGCCAGTGACCAACACATGACTTTCCTGATACCACAATCCAGCTACACAAACATAGCAAGTCCTAAGCCTCATATCACAAAAATACACAAAATGTGGCCAGAAGTACTTGTCTGTGGGAGTGAGCATCACAAACTCTAGTGCAAGGTCACACCTGCTAATATACCAACTCTAAAATGCTGTATAAATATATAAACAGACTTTATAAAACAGTATAAATAAAAGCTATGACTGGGTTTTAAACATCCTGCCTCTAGAAGGCAACTGTTGCCACTAATCTCAGTTTTAAGGACAATAGTTGTGATGGGGTGGTGGGTGATTATATGATCAGCTCCCAACAGTCTAACTGGAGGCAGTCGTCTTTACTAAATCAATCAATCAATCACAGTATCATCCTCATATCTGAGGGTTGGTGACCACTGGCTTTTATATTTCAATATTAAATTTTTGTGTCGCCATATCTGAAATAGTACTTGTTCTACCAGATAAATATATCACACCCAACACTTGGTGATGGATTATATACCAGTAACAGCTTTTTGTGTGGAATGTTTTGTCAACTTAAATTGTCCCTCATATTGAGCTTGAAGACAATTTCCTCTGACAGTCCATGCTTTAGAAACTCATCTTATAATTCAATTTTCAACAACAAAAATTAATGTTGTAAAGCAAATACAGAAAAGTTTTCCATGGCCTTTTAAATATCCTGCAAGAAAAATTGGTCACAAAAATGCCTACCTGGAGTATACTGAGGTGAGTGCAGGTGCCCAAGGACATGGCTTGGGGAAACAGCTGGCATTTGATTTGGAGTGGACGACGAACTTCCATTTTCTACAACAGTGGAATTTCCTGTCGACCCACCACGATGAGGGTGTGGTGCAGGAGGCGGCGGAGGCTCTGGCATTTTCTCATCTGTAACAAATTTCATAGTGATGAGCAGCCATGAGCAGTAAAAAAAAGATGGAATGGTGTGTGAGCCTCATACAGTACATGTAAATTATACAGGTTAGACTGCACGATTGATCCTGAAATCCATTTTTAAGACTAAGTTTCAAGCTAAGTTTTTAGCTTGATAAATTGAGTAAAGTGCAAACCACCATCATCAGAGTTAATAAACCCAACATAAGAGTGAAGGGTACTAATGTAATGGTCAATTTACCTTCCCCTCACAAGCTGGGCCTTAAAAGAGACCATGGGTGGGGGCACAATAGAGGCTGTGAAGGCTAACAAATTATGCCATCAACCTGGCATGTGACTCACCAAGACAAATTGGCCAGCTGTCTTGGATGGTTCACTCATTCACTGCCAGCTGAGAGGAGGGTGTCTGAGTCATCAGCCTACTGGCTCAGTCATAAAAAGGTCTTTCAGAATCAACCCAGTACAGTATTACCCCACTTAACGCGGTTTCGCTTAGTGCGTTTTACGGTATACGTGGTGCCTCGCCAGAGCCAAACTTTCACTTAACGCGGGTTTTTCCACGTATACGCGGTGAGTGTCCGGCTCGAGAGCTATTTTTAGATTCGCCCCACCCGCCACCCTGCCTGACTGCCTGTTTTAGCTCATAAAATTCATACAAATTACCCGGCCAGAATATAATTTACATTACTGGAATTCTTACAATTTGGTGATCATTTTGAATATAAACATCATAGATTTTGCATTAGACATACAAATTTTAGATATAATGTTTACTCTGAGTAAATATGTTATCTTTTGTGCAAAATATATGACATTTATATTCAAAATATTCCTGGTCTTACAAGGAATCCAGCAATGTCAATTGTATTATCCTACCTTTAGTTTGAGGTATTATTTATTAAAATTTAGTGGTTTTCCCCCAAAAATTTCTCAGAGAGGGAAGAGCCAGCAGAGTAGTGTGAGAAGAGGGGGAGGGAGTTGAGTCCATTATTTGAATGGACATTAACTTGGCGACTGTATTTCTCTATTTCTCTTAAGTATTAATTGTGTGCATGTACCATCATAAAATTAAGATGTTATTTTTACTAGAACATAGGTATTGTGTCGGAAAAAGTGGAGTTTGGGGATAGGGCCAGTTTCTATTGGAATTAATCCCATATGTTCTGTTGTTCACTTAGTGCGGTTTTCACTTAACACGGTACCCTGTGGGTTTTATTGACCGCATTAAGCGGGGTACTACTGTATTTATATTCAACATCTAATCAAGAACACCACCTACTCTAGAGAGAAGAAAATACAAGCTGCCTCACACTTTAACTAATCTCAAATAAAAAGACAGAAAAGATCCAGGCAAAACCCACTATCGGAAAGGAGAAGATACCATCCAGCTTACCACACTCAGAACAGTAGACCACTATCTTAAAACATCATGAATCTATTAAGACAAGGATGAAATACACACATAAAATGTCTCACTTGTCCAGGAACTATAAGCACCCCTATACTTTCATCACATAATTTAAGAGTACAACAAAAGTCAACCAGGTAACAAGATCAAAGACTATGTCGCAGAACTAACATTTGTGGAAGCCCTTGTGACAATGCAGTAGAAAGAAAATAAATATTTACTAACTAAATAATATCTGAACATACACAGAAAATTTAAAGGGAAGGGGTCAGGTAAGACTAACAAGTAAACCTCTTCAAAATATTTCACTGTTCAATTAGTACTCCCCATCGACTTCCTTAACAGTCCATAAGAAACCGTGTATCTCTTGTGTCAGTGGGATATATATTAAGAGAGGCAATTCAAAAACATTTCCAAGGGCAACCACATATAAGAAGAAAGTTCTTGGAAAGATTACCCATTATTAGGAGCCAAAATAAGGACAGGGACAATGACCCCAAAAACTGAATCACCAAGTCTCGTTAAAACGGACCCCTTTAATCCAGATATCAGATAAACCAGACGAAATCTGAGATAAGCGAGGGACTGTCCGTGTCAAATTTCTGGTTCTGGGATTGTCCGATAGATGGCTTGCGCGCACCAGACCGCCAGTCATTGTTGACTTTTAGTGCCATATTCGAGTAACAGTGTTGTGTTACCCTGCAATTTTCGTTGATATTTCAGTGATTAGGGATCTTTCAGCCTTATATTTTACATCATGCCTTCAAGGGGGAGTAATACGCCGAAGAGGAAGCATGTGACCCTTTCTGTGAACCAGAAACTGGAACTTATAAGGAAGTTAGAGGCTGGTGCTTCGGTGGCTAGAGTTTGTGACGAGTATGGTGTTAAAAAGCAAACAGTTTCGGACATACGCAAGGCTAAGGACAAACTCACTGCATTTTCTTTGAAATATACTGTTGATGCAAATTCTAAATCATCATCTGTTGGTGCAAGGAAGCGTATGAGAGTGGCGAAAGATACAAATCTTGAGGAAGCAGTGACGAAGTGGTTTATGCAGCAACGATCCTGTGGTAATGTCGTCCATGGTGTAGAAATTCAAGCTGCTGCTGCTAAGCTGGCAAGTCATATGGGCATTGAGAATTTCGAAGCTAGTGACGGGTGGTTATGACGATTTAGAAATTGCCATGGAATGTGTAATAAAATTACCCATGGTGAAGCTGGTAGCGCACCCACCGAGGACATCGAACCATTCAGGAAGAGGCTAAATGACTTAATTAAGAGTGAAGGGCTCCTGATTTCCCAAGTCTATAATGGGGATGAAACTGGGTTGTATTGGCGGTCCCTACCCCGGAATACCCAAGCTTTCAAGAATGAAGCCTCCTCACCTGGTCGTAAATTAAGTAAGGAACAATTTTCGGCATTGTGTTGCGCGAACGCAGACGGTATGCACCGTTTAAAGTTAGTGGTGGTGGGGAGGTCAGCACGCCCGCGAGTTTTGAAAGACATAATGCACCATCTACCAGCGCATTATTACCACTCCAAGAAATCGTGGTTCAACATGCAAATCTTTAATGATTGGTTTTTCTCGCATTTCATTCCTGCAGTGCGAAAATATCAAGAAGATGTCCTCAAACTTCCTACTGCTGAGGTGAAGGCGCTACTAATTTTGGACAACGCACCTGCTCACCCAGGTGCTGATAAGCTTGTCAGTAATGATGGTAAAATAAGAAGCATCTTCTTGCCACCCAATGTTACCTCCATGATCCAGCCAATGGATCAGGGTATAATTGTAGCCTGCAAGAGAATATACCAACGAAGATATCTGGACGAAGAAGAGGAAGATCTTACGGAAGACACACGAGGACAAAGAACTGTTAATAACGTCAAGAACTACAACCTTAAGTCTGCAATATTCAACTTTGCAGCTTCATGGAAGGCACTGAAGACTACCACTCTAGCCAATGCTTGGAAAAAACTTCTGTACAATGTGTAGGTAGAATATGGTTTCAAAGGATTCGAGGCAAGGGACTTTCATCGTATCCTTCAGAGGGCGGGCAAAAATGATGTCACAGAAGACGACATCAGAAACTGGCTAGAAGAGGTGACCCTGGATACCAAGTCTTAACAGAAGAAATAGCGGACGAAGTTCTCGTTGGTGACAGCAGTGATAGTAAAGATGAGGAAGACGAGGAACCAATGCCCAAGAAACCCAAACTCTCTGTTGTACGAGAATCCATTGATAATGTCATTTCATACATTGAATTGTCAGCAGAAACTTATGTTCAGCATTACAATCAACATATTAGAGCCTTTAGGGAACTCATTATCCAGAAACAGCATCATCAAGGTAAACAACTGAAACTCGGCTCATTCTTCAAGCCAGTTCGTCCCAACCCTGCTGCAGCTGTTGAGCCTGCTGACGATATTGATGACCCTCCTGCTGCTGACTCAGGCCATCCTCAGTCACCTTGGCCTTCTACGAGTGGGGTACAAGGACCAGAGGAGCATCATAGCTCTACTGACTCCGAATGACAAGTTATCACCTCTACCCCCCCCCACCTCCACCACATCAAGCTCATCTGTCATCTACCAAAGGTAAATGAAATTAACAATTTACGGTATTAACTTTTCTATTTTTACATATTGTAATGTGTTATATAGCTAGTTATATGATGTTTACAGTATTTCCTGCATTTTTTTTACTGTGTATCATGTTCAGCGTACAGTGTATATACGGTACTGTATTTCCAATATCATATACGTAGGCCTATGCAATAGTAAACCTAAATCGGTTAATTCGGACAATCGGCTAAAACTGACACCCTTCCCCCCTGTTAGTCCGCTTTAACGAGGGTCGACTGTACTTACTTCTGGGAAAAGTATCCCAAAGTAAAGGCAAAACAAGATACTACTTTACAATGAAGACTCCAACAGAAACTCTCAAGGAGTGGAAATACTACCCAAGGGATAGACAGTGATTCATCTAAGATTACAAAAGTTGAGAAAGCAATAACATCCTTACCATACTGCCACAGCTTAACTCACACATAACCATCCCCCCAAAATTGCAGCCTGTAAGGATGTCAGAGTTCCCACAAACAGTTAATAAATATAGCTCATGTTTCATAACAAATCACTGCAATACCAAGATCAACAAAATAATAGTCAGATCAAGCATTATGTTCCATCTCCAAGTAACCCCACATTAGAAACAGTGCCACATCAAGGTTAGAAGCACAAACTTTACCTCAAACCACAGTAACACCCATGACAAGGAGACTATCTTGGACATACCTTTTGCATCAGATCCCTGTTAAGGTCGTTAAACCTGAAAGCACTGTTAATCTATTCCAATGGGACTCCTTAACATCTCCAGAATGAGGATTCAAACACAAACTCCAAAAAAGGGTCAATAACCACAAAACTGATTACTGTACTGTACTCTACTGTATTAGATAATTGTGAAGCATTGAAGATACATTCACAAAACAACAATATATGCAGGTGGTGTCCAAGCAGAGAAGAAACTACAACCAGGACCAGACAACATTAATTTCCTCCAGTGTGTGGCGCAAGGGCAGATTGG